GACCGGATTTTGGCAAAAAAAGTCAGTTTTTATTTCGTTCAATGTCCGTTTTGACGAAATGGCTGTTTTTGAGCTTATCTTTGCTGCCATGTGGACTGACAGCCCCAACTTGAATCCGACCGGGCGCCAACTTCTCGTGCCCCCGCCGCGCCCCTTCCCGTACAACGAGGAAAGGATACGTGTATGAGTGGGACGTACGAGAAGCCGTCACCAAGATCGGAGGGTGTTATTTCTTTCCTCCCGAAACTCGGTGTTCTGGATTTGTCGGTGCGGGTTTTGTTATCATCGATACGCACTTCCCGCCATATTCGGTGTTACTGCCCTTTAACGAACTAATCGCCGTACCGTGGACGACAGTGGAACCTCATTGGCCTAATACGCTGTGCATCGATTGCCGCCGCTTCGAGCGCTATCAGGCCAAGGGATTCCACTACCGCACACGTGGCGAGGACGAGCATAAGGAAAGAGCCACTCGATTGAGGCCCTCCACGTCGGATTCGGAACTGTGTAGCGAACACCGACGGGACCTTATCCGCAAACGAGATACGACGTGTGTACCTACCCCTTTTCACTCGAAACGTAGAGCGACGGCTCACTGGGAAGTTCAACGATACTTTTTGGATTGCATTTTTCATAGGTGCGAGTCCCGCGCGCGCCTTTTTTTACCGTCAAAACCCAGCGACGATGGACCTTCGTCTTGCTCCAGTCGGGCCAACACGGGGGATTTCAGTTCTGTATGTGTCCCCGTACTCAATTTTCCAAAAATCCTTGGCACACCCCATCTTTGCTGCCTTTCCCGGGCCCCTTTCCGCAAACCAAACCACTGTGACCGGAAGGTAGCACAGGGCGTGAGGTTGAGCGTCACATACTAGGGCCCTCCTAATTGTGTTTTTCTGATTTCAAACTCCGCCCACAAGATTTGAGCTCCTGTTCACATTCTGGTTCGGCCTATGTTTTTCCGTTTCTCTCTAAGGGAGGCAAGACTGGACTTTTTTTTTTCTTCTTTAAAAACTACGCTATATTCTTCTCTCACATCTTTCATCATCTTTCAAATTCTTTCAATTCACCTTCACTACCTACTTACGACTACTACTTTTTTTAGTCTTTTTTTGTCATTTTTTTGACCTAGTGCCCGAGCCTTATACTATCATGAAACAGTTGAGGTCGGGTTCCTCACAGTCTACCCAGAAGGCTGGGCTTACAGGGGACTCCAGTGAACATTGCTTTGTTGTCTCCCTCCAGCCATCAGTGGGGATGCATGTTGCCCCCCCACCCCAACCATGGTGGTCAAGGATGGGGTGGGGCCGCCGGTGGGGGTCCGGCTAACGCAAAGACTGAGCATTTTGCCAGTAGCTGCACCTCCCTTTTCTTTGTCCCCCACCCCCAACCGAATAACAGCGGTGTCTAAGGCCAAATACCCTCCCACACACCACACACCACACACAACCCACTCACACTCACACCCGTGTTGGCCAAGGACCCTGCTAATACCGATCAGAGGTATCAAGCGGACTTTAAGTCCAGGGTGTTGTGGAGGCCAGTCAGTGTGTGCACAGTGATCACCTGGAACTGTGAGCCGTGGGTGTCCTGGAATATGAGACCACCTCCCAACCCATCCTCACGTCAATACTCCTAGTGTACCCCCTATCCCACTATTCTACCTCAGTGTGACCTGCACTCAGGACCATTGCCCTACCAACGGGCAGGCAACTTGGACCGAACAGCAGTGATAGGCACCAGGGCTGATAGATTGCCCAGCCCTGGTGGAAGCGGAATCAGACGAACCTTGTCGAACGGGRACTTCGGRCGCCAGGCCCAGACAATGAACTACAGGCCCCRTATATATATGGCCACCAGACAGTTCTATCCGAATGTCAGTAGGAACTGCACCCAATGGCACCCTATCCAACCTACCTGAACCTACTGCAGGCACTAGACCCCACCAGTGACTAGCTCCACAGCCTGTTTTTTGTGTATATATTCTGTGCATCTGTGTAGACGGTATCATGTGTGGAACCTTGTGTATGTAACCTGTAAGCGATATATAATTTGCAAGCTATGTGTGTGTGCCCGAAAGCTATGTGTACTCTGTCAATCATGTATAGAGGAGAGAATGGGCCAGCTGGACAAGGACCACCCCCAAGGACCGAACCAAGCTTGAACATGTGACCTTGTAACATGTAATCCAAGACTCTACAGTATGAGCAACTACCAGAAATGGAATGATCGTGTGATATGCCAGACTGGGGAGACCATCAGAACACCCGAGACCAACACCCCAAGCAAACCCTGCGAAACCCACAACCAACATACAACACTGTGGACTACCCGTGGCTGGTGCGTAGGCAGTGTCTGTAATAGTACCATGCGTCAGCCCAAGGGGATGTGTGTCCAGCTGTGCCTCAATCTAACGCCCTGCCCGTGTCCATCCACAAGGCTCAGGGGTTTTGAACCCGCAACCTTATACCACAATTCGCATTTTCAACCGGTGCTCTAACCACTGAGCTACATCAACTGGACTGAGGTATCAAGCAGACTATCACTGCTGGTTGGCACTGAAAGAAAAGAAAAAAAAAAAAAAAAAAAGAAGAAGAAGAAGGAAAAAGTGCGCTGTAGGGGGACGTGGGGCTTGAACCCATAACCTCCTCAATGCCACTTGCATGCCTAACCAACTCAGCTGGGCCGCTGGATTGACTGGACTTGTTTTCCAGCAGAAGCGGTTTTATTTTTTTTTCTTTCTTTTGTTTTTCCCTCTTTCTTTTTCTTTTTTTTTTCCATTTTCTTCCGCAGGTTCACCTACGCAAACCTTGTTACTTCTCCTTCCTCTAAATGATAAGGTTCAATGAACTTCTCCCAGCAGCAGCGGTTCTTTTTCCCTATCGCAGTTCAGCCTAAGCCGGGTAATGACCCCGGATGCCTTGTATCATTTCTAATGGGACGCTGGGCCCGGTTCCCAGCACGTGCTGCTCCCCACGAATGGATCGGAGCTGTCCGTTTTTGGGGGGCGGGGAAATAAATTGTTCTTTCGTTTACTAGCCGGTAGCAGTCGCACGTGTGGACCATGGTCTGGATCTCCCTGTGTGGTTGCCTGGAACTACTGGCTGTTATTCCGCGCCCATCAGTGGCTGGCGTTGTTTTTTTTTTTTCCTTTTTTTTTCTTTTTCTTTTTTTCAGTGGGTGGCGTTTGTCGGTGTTCCCGAGGGCCATCCCCGGCTGGCATGTTGCAACGAACGGACGAGCGGCCAGATACAAAAAGTGACTGCGGGCGGAGGGGTGGGGTGGTGCCACGCCCGAGGAGAGCTGACGTAGCTCTATGGCCGTAGTGACGTGGATCGCTGTGAGGCGCCCTAAAGGCTGAGCTGGCAAAGGATTCTCCTTTTGCCTTTCGAGGTCATCCTCTCTCTCTCTCTCTCTCTCTCTCTCTCTCTCTCTCTCTCTCTCTCTCTCTCTGTGATGGCACTCGCCTCTGCTTCTGCAGCGATGGCTGCTGCTGCCACAACTGCAAGAGGTTTGTCGTCGTCGGCAGCAGTGCTTGCGGCTGCGCAGGGACCTCAGGATGGGGGGAGAGCTGTTTGTCGGTGTGGGACCACCACCGGGACCGACGCGTTCTTGGCTTACGAGGGCGCGGGAAGACCTGGGGCTCTGCGGAACTACGACCTTGGATGCGTCGTCCGGCAGTCCTCTGGATCAACACGTGGCATCAGCAGGGCGCATCCTCGCTTAGAAGTGACACGTGGCAGCAGTCGGCGGTCACAATCGATGCTCGTCCGCGCAGTAGCGGGCGATGGCGGTGGCGTTGCCGGCGGATTAAGACCAGAGCTCAAAGAGGCCATCGACCAGTACGTCGCCTCTAACAAGGTCGTGCTGTTCATGAAAGGGTCCAAGTTGTTCCCCCAGTGCGGATTTTCCAACACGTGCGTACAAATACTTAACGTATTGAACGTTCCGTATGAAACCGTTAACATCCTAGAGGACGAAGATCTACGGCAGGGAATGAAGGAGTACTCCAAGTGGCCTACTTTTCCTCAGCTATATGTAGATAAGGAGTTTATTGGCGGATGTGACATCATGATTGAGCTATACCAGAATGGGGAGTTGCAGGAGATTGTGGAAAAGGCACTCGTGTCGTGAGTAAAATGGAGGGAGGGAGGGRGGGAGGGRGGGGGGGAGGGRGGGAGGGAGGAAGGGGTTTGTTGATGATGAGTTCGCTGATTAGAAACCCAGAAATTACTACCTTGTATTTTTCAGAAAGAGTAAAGTAGTATTGGTCCTTGCTGTAAACCAAAAAAAAAGGGGAGGGAGGGAGGGAGGGAGGGAGGGAGGGAGGGAGGGGTGTTGATGATGAATTCTCTGATGAGGAAACCTGGGCTATCTCTTGATATTTCGAACTTGTCGAAATTTTCAGAAGATAGAGTGAAGTAGTATTGGTCCTTGGCTGCAACCAGAAAAACAAGGGAGGGAGGGAGGGAGGGAGGGGGGGAGGGAGGGGATTGATGATAAATTCTGTGATTAGGAACCCTGAAAATTCCAACCTGCTATCTCTGAAATTTCAAACTTGTTGAAATTTTCAGAAGATAAAGAGTGAAGTAGAGTGATAGAGTGAAGAAGTATTGGTCCTTGGCTGTAACCAAAAAAAAAACGTTTTTTGGTTGTTTGCAGCTGCCTGCTCATCTCCCTCGCCCCTTGCCTTTCCCTCCTAAAAAGCTATATTTATTCTCTGTGCATATACCCTCCCACCCTTTGGTGTGTCCCCTCTCTCTCTCTCTCTCTCTCTCTCTCTCTCTCTCTCTCTCTCTCTCTCTCTCTCTCTCTTTTTTGGGTTCTCATGTCTTTCGGGTATAAAAAAAGCTGAAGAAAATGTACATTTTATCGTACAGCAACTTTTTTTTTTTTTAATCTACAGCAACTTTAAGGTTGTGGTAACGAGTTTTTTTTTTTTTTTTTTCCTGTGAAGAAAGGTCATCCCGCGCCGAAAACAAAGTGGAAAAAAAAAATAAATTCACGGCGGCCTTTTTTTTTTTTTTTTTTTCCTGCGGCTACGGTTTAATTTCTGCTCTCACTTCGTTGTTGCCATTCGCATTGTGAGCCGCAGAGTCCAGGCAGGCAAATTGGGCTGCGCTCCACCACTCAACATTCTACACGCATTTGGACGCGTTCAGGACCAGGTGCATTTCGACGAATCCAACACTGTTTATGTATCGGGCCGATTATGATCTCCAGATACATATGGAGAGTTGTGTAGTGGAGCGAGAGGCGGCCCAATATGTGGAGAGAGAGGGAGGGGCGCTGCAGCACCACAAATCAAATGTTGAAAAATCGTCAAAGGAAAAATGACCGGTGCATGGTTCCGATTTTAACAGAATGATACACTGGCCGTTCTCTACAGGTACGTCAGTGTACGTCCTCTAGTATATGTTCCCCTTGGGAGGAGGAAGAGCATCGAGAAAAAGAAGCTCAGGTGGAAGGAGATGAGGGAGAAGAGGGCGAGGTGAAGGAGATGGGGGAAAAAAAAGAAAGAGATGTGTAAGGAGAGACACTGGAGGTGTCGTCATGCCACGTGACAAAGACGTCAAGATCGAAGCCACGTGGCAACGACAGAGAGAGAAGAGAGAAGCAGTGAAGAAGAAGAAAGCTCCGAGGCGAGGAGACGATAACGCAGTGCCACGTGGCAAGGTACGCGGCGAGGAGACCGTTACGGAGTGCCACGTGGCAAAGGTAGGACGCTGGGGGGGTTGTAAAGCCACGTGAGAGGGATGTCAAAATAATCGTGGGAGGTAACAAGAAAGGCTACGCGAACGATGGCGAAAAAGAAGAGGAGGAGGAGGAGGAGGAGGAGGAGAAGGAAGAAGAAGAAGGCAGAAGAAAACTGATGGAAGAAATGAGGGGACGATGGATGGGTTGGATGCGAGGCAGGGGCGGCGCACGTCATGATTTGGCGGGGGAGAAGGAAGAGAAGAAGGAATCGTGAAGATATATGGTCGGGAACCAATTCATGTGCCAGTCACTCATACAGGAGGCGAAGCAGAAGAGCATAAGTGAGGAGAGGTTGTGGCCGTGCCGTGTGGTAGGCAACTAGGGCTTCGAGTAGTAGGAGTAGTAGCAGCAGCTATGGCGGTAGTAGGACAAAACAGTAGTTGTTGAAGTACAAGAAGTACAAGAAGAAGAAGAAGAAGAAGAAGAAGAAGGAGAGAAGGGCAGCGAAGAAGGTCGACCGAAGGTCCTTCTGTTCTGCTGTAGTAGTGGCAGTGTTCATGCTGTCTCAGGACGAATATAGGCCCAGTGCGGTCTGGCCGTAATACTAATGGCCCCTATGTTCGTGGCTAAGAGGGAGAAAACCACACTGTGCGTGTGTGTGTGTGGGGGNGGGTGTGTGTGTGTGTGTGTGTGTGTGTGTGTGCATATGTGTGTGCATGCGTGTTTACGTATGTGTGTGGAGGGAGGGGCCGGGGGGGAGGGAGGGGCTTGTTTGGCCGTGTGCGTGCACTCGCTTCACTAGATAAAGTAGAAGAAAGAAAGTACAAAATAAAGCGAAAGTAAGACTATCGATTGATGACTTACCGATGACTAAGTAATGATTAATGGATGATGGATGGATGATTGATTAATGAATGATGGATGTGTGTGTGCGCGCGCGGGGACTGAGAGAGTGTGTAAAAGGAAAAGAGAAAGATAGTTGATTAATTGGTTTGATTGATCGACTGATCGAATGATTGATTGATTGATTTAGGAGGAGAAATCACGATGAGAAGACGAAAGGGAGGGAGTCTGCACGTCGGGAGCAGCGCCCGCATGTTGTCTCGTGAACACGGTTCTGGCTGCTACGGGGTTCCCCGTATGACTATAATTAGGAGTAGTGGTAGGTAGGTCGTGTGAGGTGAAATTAAGAGAAGAATGTAGCTTTCTTTAAAAAAAGGAGGGGGGGGGCGAGGGAGGGGGGGGGGAGGAATCAAAGCAAGGATGAACGAAATAGAGGAAGGAGGGAGGGGCATGAAATTTTGAGGGCCGCCTCGTGGATTGTGTAAGCTTCGCTTTGACCCTTCGCCCTGTTACCCCCTCCCGCCATTGGGACACTTTGCGCGGCGCCTTCTACCACTCCACTGCCCTCCTCCCTTTATTGCGAGACGACCTCTCTCCTTCCCCCTCCCCTCCCCTCCCCTCCCCTCCCCTCCCCTCTCCCTGTCTGCCGCTACTGTGCTTACTACGATGCTCTTTCCGCACCCATTCTTCTTCCCGCTTGCTTTACCTTTCTTGCCTCGAACATAGGGCTTAGTTGCACTACTCGCCATCCGCCAACATTTTGAAAGCACCAGGACAATTTCCCTGCTCAGGTTCATTCAGAATTCCACCGTAGGGCGAGCAATGCAATTAAGCCCATAGCATCCGTCCGGGCTGGCTTATAGTTTTATCGCCAAGCGGCACCGTTGCTATGCTACGTGCGTGCTATGCTTAGCACGAAGATACCATAGCACGAATATTTTCAGCACGAACCTAGTATAGCACGAACATGGCACGAACATAGCATACCAAAGTGCTGCGGCGCCGGGCTGTGTAAGTATTACGGCCCGGCTGTACTGGCGGTACGCTATGTCCGTGCTAGCTGGTGGTGCTATGTGCACCAGTGTGGCACCAGTGTGGCCTGGAATGTATGATGCTTGCCACATAAAAGAACGTCACAACAAGACGAGAAAGGACGTGTCGAAATTGGAAAAATAAGTAAGTATATCATTCATTGATTGCTCTCGCTAACTGAAAGTAATTGTTGGTAGAGGAGCACAACTCTTTTTTCCTTCTTTGCTCGAAAGAAAAAGATGCATTTGTACGGAAGGACGCTGTCTCGCCACCGAAAATACCATACCGTCCATCCTGTAGTAGTGAAAAAAGAAAAGGTGAGCACCGATTCGTTCGTGGAGAATGTTCTGTATAGAGATTCTATGCTCTCTTGCAATCAGCCTTTCCATGTTGTTTCCGCGTTCATCCACCTCGCCACAGATGCTTCGCTTCGCTCTTTGCTTTGGATCGCGATGGGCAATGGGAATCGACATGGTGATCGCCATGACGCATCGTCCGACTCTTTCCATGCACGTCATTTCACGCATGTCATTTCGTGCTTGCCATTCCATGCATGTGAGATCGTCTACAGCATTTCATGCACGTTAGTCTACGTCATGCGTCATCTGATGCACCTTCATGCACCTTCATGCACCTTCATGCACGTAATTTCATGTACCTTCATGCATGTCATTTCATGCACGTCATCTATGCGCGACATTTCATTCTCGTCGTTCATGCATGTCACTTCGTGCATGTCATCTCATTCACGTCATGCATGTCATCTCATGCATGTCAGCTCGTCTACAGTATTTCATGCGCGTTAATTTGTCTACGTCAATTGATGCATCTTCCAGCTCTTTTCATGCACTTCATTTCGTGCACGTTATTTCATGCATGTCATACTTCGTGCATATTATTTCGTGCATGTCATTCATGCAAGTCGTATTTCGTGCATATGATTTCATGCATGCCAGTTTGTCTAAAAGCACTTCGTGCACGTCAGTTTGTCTACGTCATTTGATGTACCGTTCAGCTCTTTTCATGCGCCTCATTTCGTCCACGTCATTTCATGCACCTCTCATTTCACGCATGTCACGCCATTTCACCAGGTCATTTCGTGCATGTCATTTCGTGCATCTCAGTTCATCCACAGAATTTCTGCATGTCAGTTCGTCTACAGCATTTCATGCCGTCAGCTTATCTACGTCATTTAAATGCGCACCGTACAGCTGTTTTCACGCACCTCATTTCATGGATGTTTCATTCACGTAATTCATTCATGTCAGTTCGGCTACAGCATTTCATGCACGTCAGTTTATCTACGTCATTTAATGCACCGTCCAGCTGTTTCATAGAGGTCATTTCATGCACGTCAATTCACGCATGTCACGTCATTTCGTGCATGTCAATTCATCTACGTAATTGCATGCATGCCCTTTCGTCTACATCATTTCATGCACGGCAGTTTGTCTACGTCATTTGATGCACATCATTTCATGCACGGCAGTTTGTCTACGTTATTTGATGCACATCATTTCATGCATTTCATTTTGTTCATGTCATCTCATGCACAGCATTGCATTCCAAGTGCCGTAACTCCGTCAGATCCGTCCAGAGAAGTAAAGAGCAAGTCTTCAACTGCTGTAATAGTACGACCCTTTGCGGATTGTACAGTCATCAGTCTGATACCTGTAGGCAATCACGACTGTTTGCATGGCCACAGACACGCACAGCCAGTTTACCGTCGCCCGAATAGAACGCACAGTCAGTCTGATGCATGCAGGCAATCACGACTGTTTGCATGGCCACAGACACACACAGCGAGTTTACCTACCGTCGACACCCGAATAGAACGCACGCTTTTTTTTTTTCTTTTCTTTTTTTTCTTTTTTTGTTAACGGTAACGGCCTTGAGATATCGTCATTGAACTGACCGGCCCCAGGTAATTCAGGATGACTTTGTTCTGCTCATCTGATAGTATCTGGATTCGAACTTGAGCATGTATTTCAACAGTTCATAGGTGTAGCAAATGAGCTAGGCCCGGTGGTAGAACGGTCATTATAGCTGTATTCCGTATTACTTTCGGCTCGGTCTAGCGATGCTGACCGTGCGTTTTATTCGAGTAAAGACGGTAGTTTCCCAGATGTCAAGGGATCGAATGCGTTTTATTCATTACCAGTGTTGTTGTCA